TTCCCAGAAACCTGCAATTCTCAATAATCGATTGTCACTCCCCCATCAATCGATTATCGCCCTTCTCAGAGAATTCCCAGAAAACTACCCAGAACCTGAAGCCTTCAATAATCGATTATCCACTTAGGACAATCGATTATCTTCCTTTCCCTACAAATAAAGAGTCTGAGACTATAAAACCCTGAGCTTAGATATAACAGATTATCACTGTCCGCAGAAGTTTGGAGCAAATCCATCGCAAAACCTCAACAATCGATTTTCCAAGTCATGATAATCGATTATCAGGGGCTGCAGAACCCTCTCAAAAGTCAGGCGCAAACCAGCAACAATCGATTATCAAATATAAGATAATCGATTATTTAAGCCTGCAGAAGTTAAAGGCAACTCAGGCGCAAACTACAATAATCGATTTACAACCAGGCAGAAATTGATTATTGAAGCCTGCAGTTTCTTTGGCCGAGAATCTGAAGACTCAGATAATCGATTTACAGGGAGTGTAAATCGATTATCAACGGCGATTTTTAAAAATTCTGAGCATTGCAGAGACGTTGGAGGAGCATTTAAACCTTGTTTGACCATCCCAACGGATCTCTACACCTCCTCCACTATATATTGGTGATATCTACTCCATTTTTACTCATTCCAATCATCTCTTCTCCATATATTCATCATAATTCATCATTCTTGCTCCTATTCTTCATTTTTTTTTCAAAATTTCTGCAATCTCTCTCTCCTCTCTTGTTGCAATGGCAGGCGGTCAAAGAAAGCGTTCCCGCACCGGCAAAAACGTTGCTTCCTCCTCGGCTCCTCCTCCACCACCAGCGCACAAGTACCTCAATGGGTCGTTACTTTGGTTCAACAACCGAGCAGAGGCGACGCGGTTCTCGGAGAAGTTTGAACACCGGGAAATTCTCCCTCCCCGATTCTCCACCGCCCGCTTCATTCATGACTCCATTCCACGTGAGGCACGGGTTATCCTCGAACGTGGAAACTTCCTCAACCTCCTCTACATCAAGAAGGTCAATTATCACCCCTTTCTTGTTCGAGCTTTCTACTCGAACTTGAAAAAGGATGAGGATGGAGCGTTGATGTCTAACGTCAACGGGGTGGACATCTATTTGAATGAGGAAAACATTCAAATTCTCACAGGGCTTCGTCGGGACGGACAGGATCTCGGGCTCTACGTCGGAGAAGAAGGAGCGCGGTTCAATGAGACCGCTCTCTTGGAGGAAGTGGGCATCCGACACTTCGTCCCCACTCCCCAACAGCGGCGCCCTACGATTGCTTCCATGAGTCCCGTGTTTCGATTCATTTTTTATGTTTTGACACGGATTCTCAAGCCTAGGAAGTTCAACCACACCACTCTCTCCCAAGAAGACACGAAGACGATCCATGCGATGATTCACAACGCCAATATCAATTGGTGTAAATTTGTGATGATCCACATGTTCAACGCCACCTCCGACAACCGGCCGCTCCCCTACGCCCTCCTCGTCATGGCGATTCTTGAAGAGTATAACATCAAAACCGATGTTGGGCCAAAGATA